TGTGGTGCATTTACATAGTAGAGTATTACTCAGCTGTTAAAAACCAGGACACCAGGAAATTTGCAGACAAATGGATGGAACTAGAAAATATCTTGAGTGAGGTAACCCAGACTGAGACAGTCAAGCATGGTATATAATCACTCATAAGTAGATATTAGCTGTAAAATAAAGGCTAACCATGCAACAATCCACAGACCCAGAGAGGCTAAGATTCATGAGTTCATGGAGTGGGGACACCCAAATCTTCCTGGCAAGGGGAAATAGAAGGTATTTCCTGAATGGACTGAGGACAGGTAGGGAACATGAGCAATCAAGTTGTGGGGGTGATGGAGAGGGACAGAACTGAAAGAGACTACCGGAAAGGGGGGGCATCTGGGGGTCAGATAAAAAAACCTGGCACAAGGGACTTTCTCAGGAACCTACAAAGAAAACCCCAGCTTAGATTCCTAAAAATACATAGCCTGAATTGGCTATCTCCTGTGACCAGATTGGTGCTAGCCTAATTAGCATCAGAGAGGCTTCCTCCATCAACTGATGGAAACAGATGCCACAGCCAAACATTAGGCAGAGTTCAGGGAGTCCTGCAGAAGCAGGGGAGGAAAGATTGTAGGAGCCAGAGGGGTCAAGGACACCATAAGAAAACTCACAGAATCAACTAACCTGGGCTCATATAGAAGCTCACAGAGAATGAACTGACAAACCAGGGAACTTGCATGAGACTGGCCTAGGCACTCTGCATATATGTGACAGTTGTGTAGTTGGTCTTCTTGTGGACTCTTAACAGTGGGAACAGGGGCTGTCTCCCACTCCTTTACAGGCTTTTGGGAGCCTACTGGGTTGCCTTGCCCAGCCTTAATACATGGGGAGGTGCTTACTGCAACTTGATATGCCATGTTTTGTTGCTACTCATGGAAGAACTGCCCTTTCCTAAACAGAAATGGAGGAGTGGATTGGGGGTAGGTGGGAACAGAGGGGATTGGGGGTTAGGACTGGGAAGAGAGGAGGGAGTGGAAACTGCATCCAGGATGTTAAATAAATAAATAAATTTAAAGAAAAAAAAAGACTTGCCATGGTCATGGTGTCTCTTCACAGCAATAGAAACCCCAACTAGGACAATAGTCCTACCCAGATATGACAGGGAAGATATCACCGAAGGTTCAATAGTAGCATTTACACCTTGAAGGTAATCAACAGCTGTATAATTGGACATAAAGCCCACTTATTAAGAGGGAATTCATGCTTGGTACTGTGAACCTAGTCAACTACAAAAGGCTGATGAGGCCACAGAACCTAGAGAACTTAATACTGCCACTTTTCCAAACTAGTATAATTTTAACTGAATTCTAAGTACTTATCCTCTTATCCCACAGGTAAGTGTGGTGTTCCCCCTAAAAGAACTTATTGTTATGTTAAACAGAGACCACCATAGAAATCTATGACTTTTCAAAATGAAGAGAACAACTGACTGGGGGTACCTAGCTCCATTAGATATCATTTCTCCCCTTCCTCCCTCCAACTCTTCCCATGCCACTCTACCCCTGCTCCCAAATTTATGGCCCCTTTTTCTTTAATTATTGCTACATGTGTATGAATATATAAATACAACTTGCTGAGTCCATTTAGTGTTGCTCATGTGTATATATTTTCAGGGTTGACCACTTCATCCCTGGGGAAGATTGAATCTTCTTTTCACTGCAGTCATTATTTATGCATAGTTTTCATTTAGGGTCAGGGCCTTATGAGAATTCCCCCAAGCATGTCAAGCATGTGTGATCATTATGCTGGTCTTGGTTAGGTGACCATATTGTTGAGTTTTCATGGGTGCAGCTTTCCTGACATATACAGAAGACACTATATTGAAGCAGATGTTCTAGTTTCTGGCTCTTTCAAATTTTCTACCCCATCTCTTCTGTGATGTTCCATGAACCTTAGGTAAAGGGATTGTTTCTTAAGGCAAATCTTGTTCTGAGGGTGCATGTGTATGTTCGTATGAATTCCCTCCCTTTACCCTGCCACTTCATAGGTTCACTGACTAGGCTAGCTAGCTGTTAGTTTCCAGATGACTCCATGTCTGGGTCCTATTTCCCGTAGGTGTGCTGTAATTACAGATGCTCACTGCCACATCCAGTTTGCACTCTGGGGATTGAGCTCAGGTCACCAGTATTGACTCACTGAGCTTTGTCTCTGGACTCTTTGATTTTTTTTGTTTTTTGTTTTTTTTTTTTTTTTTGAGACAGGGTTTCTTTGTATTGTTTTGGAGGCTGTCCTGGAACTCGCTCTGTAGACCAGGCTGGCCTCGAACTCACAGAGATCCGTCTGCCTCTGCCTCCCGAGTGCTGGGATTAAAGGCGTGCGCCACCAACGCCTGGCTGACTCCTTGATTTTTGAGACAGGTCTAATTCTTGTCACCCAAGTTGGCCTCAAACTCCTGTAATCCTGCCTTAATTTCTTGAGTGCTCAGATTAAAGGCATGAGCCACCATACCCGAATGTGGTTGTGTGCCTCTTTGTGTGTGTGCACACATTATTCACATGGAGATCAGAGGTTGCTATTAGGTGTCTGTGTTAGTCCCTCTCTACCTTTTTTTTTTTTTTTTTTTTTTTTTTTTTTTTGAGACAGGGCCTTTCACTGTTTTGGCTAGGCTGGGTGGTTAGCTAGCAAGCTTCAGGGATCTGCCTGTCTCTCTCTGCAGCACTACTGCTACATCAGCTTCTTTTTTAAAATTTAAATTTAAATTAGAAACAAGGTTGCTTCACAAGTCAGTTCCAGGTTCCTCTCCGTTTCCCTCTCCTCCTCCCATGCCCTCCCACCAACCCCCCTCCAATATCCCCTCATTTCCCCAGGGAGGGTGAGGCCCTCCATGGGGGTGTCCATAGTCTGTCATTTCATCCAGGGCAGGGCCTAGACCCTCCCCCAAGAGTCCAGGGTGAGAGTGCATCTCTCATTGTTGGATGGGTGCCCAAAGTCCATTTATTTGCCAGAGATAAATACTGATCTACTACCCAAGGCCCAATAGATTGCCTAGGCCTTCTCACTGACACCCACATTCAGGGGGTCTTGATCAGTCCCATGCTGGATTCCCAGACATCAACCTGGGATTCAAGAGCTAACCCTTGTCAGGTCAGCTGTTTCTGGGGGTTAAACCAGCCCTCTTAATTCCTTTGGTCATCAGTCCGCCCTCTCTGACACTGGATTCCTTGAGTTCAGCTCAGTGTTTAGCCGGCTACACCAACTTCTTATGTAGGTGCAGTGAACTCAGGTCCTCATGCTTGTGTAGCAAACATTTTAGTGACCAAACAATCTTCTGATCTCGTCAGATACTTGGCTGTTTGTTCTTTGAGTTGCTTTACAGTTTTCTGAAGAAGGACCCCACTAACTATATCCTGCACTGTAACTATCCAGTCATACATTTCTAACTCCTGGCTTTTATTTCATTCTTCCAAATTATAAATTAACAACAACAACAGTGAGATTCTCAGCACTATTTGCATGTTTCTCTGAGAGGACCTGGCATGATATTTTACATTTAATTATTTGGTATGAACAGTCACTGTTTTGATAACAATGCATGTTTTAGCTCCCACTGCTAACAGGTATTTGCTATTTAGAATATCTAGACATTTAAATTGTTAACATTTGAAATTACATGGCAATGGTTTGGAACTATAAAATAAAGTAGTAAAATGTTCATTACTAGCCAGTTCAGTGATGTAAACATAACCTCATATTTTCTTGAATGGGTTATAGTACATAAGGAATAAAATTGTCTTTCAGTGATTTATGAGTTATAGGCTTGAATTATCACCTGTGTATCATTTTGGAATATTTACTTGCTTTCACATGAAGAATCAAAACCTTTGAATTATTTATAGATCTATGTAAATTACATTTATTTTGTAGAAAAAATGATAAGGGCTGGGGATACAGCTAAATGGTAGAGTTCTTACCTAGATACGAAGGTCGTGGGTTTAGTGTCTAGCACCATTAAAAATGATAATGAACTAATAACTACCATTATTATGAATGCCACAGTGAATTTGAGGTCAGAGGCCATTTTTTGAGATAGTTTTTTCTTACCACGAGTCTCCGAGACAGTCTTGTACAGCAGATACTTTTCCTGCATTCAGTCCTACTTTCCTAGATTGTAAGTCATTCAGCTTGGTCTGAGTCAGTCTCCCTCTATATTTTGCTTCTGAGGCAATCACACCTTTTAATGCTAAAAATATTACATGCATGAAGATGTTTGCTGCATTTTACTAAGAGACTGCCTAGGGTTGTTGTTATAGTGGTCATAAAACTTTTGTAATTAAAAAGTCACAGTTATGACTTACAAATAGGAGATACTAATACATTCTAAAATTAGTGGGAAGATTTTTAAGAAGAAAGAATATATGAATAAATAAGGTAGAGAGTGATAGAAGAAGATGCCCAATGTTTGCCTTTGGCTGCTCTATGTGCTTGGATGAGTATTCACACATGAAACACAGATGCACAATTTGAGGTACTTTTTAACAAAGGGCTAATAAAACCTAAACATAAAGTCAGCGTTTCATCCTTTTATCTGTCCTCAAGTGGATATAAAGGAACTTAAGACTGTGTATCGATAACCACAAAAAGATGCCTAAGAAACAAGCAAGCAAACTGTCAGATGGTCTGAAATAGATGGACTAGAACATAGAAATGGACCAGAGGTGTGATCAAAGGAGAGCTTCCCTATGGCATGGCTGACAGATGGCAAGGCACAGTGTGCTAAATAGGGAGTGGGAGAAATGACTGAGAGCTAACAAATGGTGGAAGCATCAAAGCACCTGAAATATCATCACTCTAACCCCTTTTTGATTCTCAATTTGAGGATTATTAGAACCACGAGGTCCCTCTATGTCAGGCCAAGTCTGTTACACTCTTCAATCAGAAATCTTAACGAGAGCCAGCTTTCCTGACTAGAGGAACCTGACGTCTCAGCAAAGTCCCTTGGGGAAGAGCTGTGCTTGCTGTCATACCTGTGCTCTCCTCAGCCTGATTGAAGCCGCAGATCTGGCAGATGCTCTGGACCCACTTATTCATGTCGGCCTCTGTCTCAGCCACCAGGTAAAAAGTGCGTTCACTGGTCTTGATATCAAACACAAAACTATCTTGAAGCTCTTTCTTGTTGAAGGTCAGGCCTGCATCCACCTGCTCACAGAAGTTCAGGTTGATGATCCGCAGGGGTTTCTTGGAGTGTTCATTCTTGTAGTATTCCAAAACATCTGGGTCGCCACTCATCCGGCCGCTCCGCAGGATAAACCAGCGTTTCTTCCAAGCCTAAATCACCAGAGACACAGAAAGAAGAAGGAGAAAATGCCATTAGTTATTTTAAAGTTTTTAGCAGGTCCTCACATATCATTGATTGAGGATGGGTATGACAGGTGGATAGGGCCTGGAAAGAAAGACTCCAAGATCATCATATGAGGGACCCACCAGATTGCTCAGTGGATAAAGGTACCTGCCACCACACCAAATGATCTGAGCTCAGTCCCTAAAATCCACAAGGTATGAACATTATCATTTGACTTCCACGTGTGCATCATGGCATTTGTGTTCCACCAAACAAATATGTAATTAAATAATTAAGATTGCCATATAAAAGAAGCCAATTGGCAGAAGACTGTGAACCTCTGACCATTGGCTACATGTAACAAAACAAGAGCATTCCCCCAACAAGAAAAACAAACAAATAAAAAAAGAAACACAAACCCCCAAAACTCAAGCTCTCTGAATGAGGAAGAAGCAGAGTGTTATATACTACCTATAAAGAAGCCAGACTGTCAAGGCCAGAGGGCCTGGGACCTGTGCCAGCTCTCTAGCCCACTTCATTATTGGTGTGCCTTTCTTTTCTTCATAAACTATCTCTTTTTCTGTCACTACCTTTGTGTTCCTAGTCCCTAGTCTCGTGTTGGGAATACAAGAACCCGAAATCTCAGCAAGTGCTTCCTGGACTCATTTCTATTAACTTAAGGACTGCTGAGCCCTTCTGGCACTCATGGCCTACACTTCCCTTTCAGATTTCTCAGCTCAAAAACAGAAGATGGTTTTAGAACTTGTTAGTATAGGAATACAGTAGTAGTACAATTCTTCCTTTAGACTAGATACATACTCATAAAACATCAGGTTAGAGAGCACTTACAAAGCCATAAAACCTCCAGCTTACAGGTTAAGGCATTGTTGAGTTAAAGCAACAATGTTATACCAAGTGTAGCAGAAAATTAATTTCCTAACTTCCTATAGTATGCCTCTTACCAACCATGATGTCAGTGAAGAATCACTGATAACAAATCTTGGTGGGAATGCTGTGAGCAACTACCTTTATGGCCCCCCTTTTCTTCAGTCCTGACATAGTTTCCCCAAGACCCATGGTAGTTCATTGCTCATTGCCAAGCATCCCATCTATATTACTGAATAGATGTCATATATTATCCCATATTATAAAATTTAAAACTTAGCTACATATGCTCTTAATCTATCTTCTACATTTTATCTCTTCAACAAGACTGAGTAAACTCTTAGTGGACTGGTACACAGTGATAAACCACCCCCACCCACAAACAACCAAAAACTAAATAGTCACAGACCTTTGGGTTGAGTTTAAATTCTACAACAGACTCATTACATAATTTTTCAACTAAGTTCCTTATTTCTTTGGATCTTTCCTTATTTATGGAATGAGAATCATAACCACTACTATCATCACCTACCCTATTTATGAGAGTTTTTCTAATGTAAATGAGCATCAATGATTTATTATTTTCATTATTATCATCATCATCACGATTCTTGCAACCTCCAGGAAGCTATATTAATTCTATCAATACTTCACACTCACCTTTTATTCTTGTTCTCAATTTCCTCAGTAATCAATTCTCTTGACCCCTCCTTATAATTTCCTTGCTTCTTTTCCCATTTCTCTTGTTTACTTGGCAAAACCACATTCTTCAGCTAAGCCTAATGTTCTGCCTACTCTACCTGTTCTCACTTGGCTTTCCTTTACATGGGTCACTCACAATGCCCAATAATCCTATTAACCTAGTCCAGGACTTCCTTGTGCTCTTTGGCAACAATCTCTAATCTTCTCTCTGTAAACCTCCAAGCCCTCTACTCTTTTCTTCTTTCATACAATCAAAAGAGATCCGATTCCACATTTACTAGTGCACCTGCCTCCACGATTACATTCTCTGGTATCTACAGGCAGCTCTCCTAATAATTTATAGCAGCCTACCTCCTAGGTACACACCCTTTCACCCACCTGGAACATCACTTCAACAACTGGGCCCTCTCCAGAGTAGTTGCTTCATCCTTCCCTACTAGAATCATTTCCACCATCTCAGAAAAAAGATAAGAAGTTTTTTTTGTTTTCACATTCATCTCTATGACTCAGCTTTGCAATTCCTCTTCAGTTAAGCTTCAAGCAGTTTCTATAGTACTATACTTATTTGTTTTATCTCCTCCTATATGAAGGCACTTCCATTAGGCTGCTCTCCACTGTTCCTCTTGAATAATTATCAAAGGACTTGAAGACTCCAGTGCTGCTAACTAGTTCTTGGACCTTACTGTGAACTCAGGAACATTTTACAGTGGCCTATTATTGACACACCTTCATTGTGTCACCTTCATTGACATACTTTCTTCGATGGGCTTTGGCATCCACTCTCAATTTCCCATGTGGTATTGCTTTTCCAGATGCCAGTGCTGTTTTTTTTCCTATTTTCTAAGCTCTAAAATGTTCTAATGCTCAGTTCTCTGATGGACTATTTCTACACCCACCATTGGTTCAAAGTCATCTACTTGCTGTAATTTCCAAATATCAGACCCTGGCCTAGCCCTATATGAGGAACCTGAGTCCTATAACCAACTCTCCATTATTAAACATTGCACAACTGGTATGTTAAAAGTGAATTTTCAGCCAGGCACAATAGCTCACACTTGTCATCTCAGCATTTGGCTAACACAGGATTGTTGCCACTTTGAGGTTAGGCAGGGCTACATAGTAAGTACCAGGTCAGCCTGGTATACGGAGGAGACTCTATCCTAACTCCTATTTACCTCTAAAATTTGACCTTCCAATATCCCTCAGACTCATTTCTTTTTTTTTTTTAATCTCTTCTATTTCCTGTTCCCAGGGAAATCCATGCATTCCTCTTTGGGCCCTCTTAATTATCTACCATCTCTGGGGCTGTGAACTGTAAGTTGGTTATCCTATATTTTACTCTTAATATCAACTTATGAGTGAGTACATACAACGTTTTCTTTTCCATATATGGTGATTTGAATGAGAATGCTCCCCCCACCAAAAAAAGCTTATATATTTTCAGACTTAATCCCTAGTTAGTGAACTGTTTGAAAAGAATTAGAAAGATTGGAGATGTGGACTTACTGGAGGAAATGTGTCTCAGGGGTGAGCTTTGAGATTTCAAAAGCCCATTCAAGCCCAGTCTCTGACCCTCCCTCCCCCTTGGAGACTGCTGCCTGTGGATCAGGATATAAAGCTCCAAGCACCATGCCAGTCTGTTCTCCCACATGATGGTCATGGACTGACCCTCTGGAACTATAAGCAAGTCAGACTCATTTCTTACGACAATCTTTCCCATCTTAGTTATGGCTATAACATCCTTCCTATATCAAAGTCAACTAATTCTCATATTCAACATTCAGTCTATCAACAAATTCTGTCAGTGAAAGAGTTCAAAATATATCTTCCTTATCTACCCTGTTGTTCTCTAATTACACTGTGTGATTATGTGCACTGGGGTCAATTATCTCCTTCCACTACATGCCTATTGAGAATTGACCTCAGGTCACCGGGCTTGGCAGCAAATGCACATCTCACCAGCCCATAATTGCATTGATTTTAATACCCTTTATGATTCCATCCAACATTCCATTCACAAAAGTGAGGTCAGAAAGCAGGATAGGATGTAAATCAAGATAGGCTGTAAATCAGAGTAACTGTTCCTTCTCTGCATGAAAACTCTTGTCTATCCACACAGAGTAAAAACAATTTCCTTACGATGGCCCCTAGGCCTAGGTTACAATTTGGGTCTTAAATAATTCCAAATCTTTGGTCTCAGCTTGTGATGCTATTTGGGAAGTTGTAGAATATTTAAGAAATAAGGCCTTAGGTCATTGATGACACAGCATTGAATGGACTATAGGACTGTCTTCTTTTCTCTGTTTGCTCCCTGGCCAGAGATTAGTGACTTGCTTTAACACATGCTCTCTGTCATAAGGTGCTTCCCTACTCTAGCCTAAAACAACAGGGTTGAATGCTGAACCCTCTAAAACTGTGATCCAAAATAAGCCTCCTTTTCCTCTCTTGTTTTTTCCCCTCTTCATGGTGCTGAGGATTGTATACAGGGCTAGTGTTCTATCTTTTCTCTCTATAAGTTGATTATCTCACAGATTTATGAAAACTTGACTAACATAGCCTGGCATGCCTGAACCTCATGTCTCATCTCATGATCTCACATAAATATAGCCCATTTTGTTGCCATACTGGCCTTAAATATTGCCAGGTGCATACCTGCCTCCGGCTCTTAATTTTAATTGTTCTCTCTGGAACAGTCCTTCTCCCACCATTCCCATTCCTTATTCTTTATTTCAATTGTTGAAGAACTGCTCCTCATCTCCCACTCCCTCCCCTTGCAAACATTCACATTCTTCTTTCTCCTTGTCTGGTTTCATTGGTGTCACTGGTTTTACTAGTACTCACACTATTTCTGCTGTCTGCACACTCACTTCCTGGAATGTAAACAGCACTGGCACAGGGACCCTTTCATTCTCATTTGCTATTCCTCCAGTGGGGTTTTTAATGAGAAATGTCCCCCATAGACTCAGAAATCTTAATACTTGGTTCCTAGTTAGTGTCGTTGTCTGAGATATTTAGGAGGCATACCTTTGCTGGAGGATGTATGTCCCTGGGGGTGGGCTCTGAGAGATCATATCTTGGCCCCACTTCCAGTTTGATTTCTCTGCTGTGTTTGGAGATACAAGCATTCAGCTTTCTGCTCCTGCTACCATGCCTGTCACTTGCTGTCATGTTTTTTCCCCATGATGGACTTCTAACCTTCTGGAAGCATAAGCCCAAACAAACTTTTCTATAATTGACTTGGTCAAGGTGTTTTATCACAGCAACAGAAAAGTAACCAATATACCATCTTACTACCATGCCATAGTCACGATATTTAGAATAGTGCTTCGCACATACATAGTAAACAAAAATATGTTCATTAATTGATTGCTTTCTAGCATAAAGTCCTTATGGCACTTAA